CGTCGACAAGTACCCCAAGTATAACTTCGTCGGCCGTATCCTCGGCCCTCGCGGAATGACTGCCAGACAGCTCGAGCAAGAAACCGGGTGCAAAATTATGGTCCGCGGACGTGGTCAGAGCACGGTATCTTTCCTTTTTACGACATGAATTTTTCCAGGAACCGCTGAACGTGATTTGGCCAATGTGAGGACTACACGAAGATGTGTGCAGGAAGAAGCTGGGCACGGTCGATAAGGTCAACGTTCTACTGAACCCTCCGGTGAATAGTTCTGCGATAACTTATTCCATCTTTTTTTGCTTACGGGGGCAAGATGAGCTGAAGCGCAAACAGCTGATTGAGCCTCTCAATCATCAACGGCACATGCCCGACGGTGGCCACGGCTTCACTCGGTAAAGCCCTTTTTTCGGTGTCAGATAATCTATCCATTCCTTGGCTCACATTCATTCGCAGCCATCTCTCTCCAGCCAACGGACTATGCTATCCCTGAAATCCTCGTGGAAGACTTGAGGGCACAGAGCCACCATTAACAAACCCCTCCAAAAACTGCTCAATTTGCTTCTGCTTAAAAATCTACCCAATGGGCAAGATTGAATTTATTTGTACCAATTTCAGCCAACCCAGGCCGATATTTCATTCCCCGGACTCGCCTTTACCCCTTCGGCCTCATGTACACAAAAGACCTGTGTGGGCGGGACAAAATGGACAAGTTCATCAGCTGGCTCCTCATCGGCTTTAACTCCGTCAGCCACACCACATTAGTCATCAAGCGAAGGAAACTAATATTAATAATTCCACCAATCCTGCAGGGAACTTACACATCTGTAGCACCCCGCTCGATTAATTTATATTAAGTCGTGGTGATATCTAATCTGGTTTAATCTATTAGTTCTTTCCACTTTGTGCTCTTTTGTGTTATTGAAGTTTTCCGTCTAAGACTATCTGCCTTTGGGGTTTTCGTAATTTTTGTGCTAGCCTTGGCCCCTCGGCACCATATGTGGTAGCTTGTTTTTTCTTTGTGAGTAAAAATATAATAATTTTTTGCACTTGAATTGAATAGCACTCGTATTCTAAATAACCTTGGCATCTCAGCCCGGTTCGCGTATATGTTGAATTCGGGTGAGCCCGTTAGTTATTATAACCATGGATTAAATTACAACATGTTTCCTTTGTAGCTTGAAGCTCATGCGCGTATAATGGGGGCGGTGGTGTCTTTCTTCCGATTGCCACCGTTCTTCGACATTCTGACATCCTCAACTGCGTGGTGACCAACGCGATTCTCGCCTTCTTTATTGCCTTAACGATGTCTAACCAGAATTTTGCAGATGCAATGAAGTGCATCGTTCCCGCTGGGGTTCCAAGCAGCATTTGGTTTATCATCCAATCTGGTTTTCAGCAATGTGGGAAGAATTCTGGAACCAGCAATGCTTCCTCTCCAGTAGATACGCAGGTGTCAGGGATCGAGCGCGGCCCTACACGGATCTTATAGGCCACAGCCACGTTCCTCTACTCGTCCGAAATTTCCCGGGTATGTCCGATTTCTACCGTTCCCATCATTCTGTCGGTTTACTAGATTCCATATTGTCTGATCGTCCAACTGATGCTGTTTACGGTGCCCAAGTTTGCCTGGACCACCTTCGGATTTTCGGCTGATGGAGGTTAATAATTTTTAGAAGTTTTGATAAATAGTGCTTAGTGGATAAGGTCGTCTCGATAATCCCTCAGACGCGTTGCCTCAAAGATTTGGCCGGCGAAGAGCGGTCCCACGAGATAGATGGAATCTGTGAATTCTTTCTGAACGTTACTGGGCGCAATTCGAAAAGATGCGTTCGGATTGGATTCGAACCAATAATTGTTTAGGTTCCATGTTTTACATGGTCGACTAGCACTGTTCGTCTAGGTGTGCCAGAAGTGGCTCCAAGTTTTCAACATATTTGTTCAGTTCTACCTCTGCCAATGGATCATCGGGAACTGGTCCGTGGGATGGGGATTTGAGGTATCTGGTTGTGATTCGTTCAAATTTTCTTTCAGTTGTTCGAAGAAGTAGTAAAGAAGAAACTCTGATGTTTACCCGCGCCGTCTTCTGCATTATGCCTTCGGAGACATACAAGTGCGCTTGCGCAGGAATGTCTGATGCCGGCTAGCTACATCTACGAGAAAGTCTACCTGTTCCTCTACGTTTGGTTGCTCATCCTGTTCGCCCTCACGCTGTTCATGACCATGCACTACAGCCTTTTCTTGACATCACGCGCCTATCGGATGTATTGCGCCTCCAAATTTTTACCGTTGGACTTGCTCTAGTTATTACGGGATCTGATCTACACGCCTGCAACCATGGTGATGGCCTGGCTGCTTTACGAAACAGCCAAGTGCGCATCTCATCGCCATCTGATCAACTGTTTGAGTATTTCGTCAATACTGCACTGATGGTTTTTCGAATGCCATATTTTGGGTCCATATTTTTCGAATGCCTTTGGGTATTATGAATTCGTCTTGCTTGGATTCCCATCAATACACTTGGATTTCCAGGCGCTGATTCTTGTCGCAGCACTTGGCTTCACACACGGACCCTCTGCCGCGCTGCGCTCCGCCCCAGAAGCCGACGTCTTGACCGAGCGATTCGACTACCTCATACAAGAATTTTCGACATGATACTTTTACGTTTTTAATTAGCTTGATGTCACGGTGGTTTTAATAAATCGTGCGAGATAGGCGAACAAGGATACCCTCCATCGCACCATATTTTTCGAAAGACACGGGCAAATGCGGAGATTTTGATTGATTTCGGTGATTTCATTTGAAAAAAACTTGAAAAAAGTAAAAATCAATCGTCGCAACGTGGCAATACAATTGACGGAAAGGGACGGCGTTCTTCCGCGTACTCCGGGATACGAGCCAAGATTTTTACTTATGGACGATTTTTTCGCGAAGCGATTTTCCATCGCTCGCTTTTTTGCATTGGACATTTCTTTTGTTTCCTTAGTTTTGAACCCGTTTCGTGCATTTCGCCTATCACGTGCAATCTGCAATTTTTCACCGGATTCGTCCCCCGAAACATTCCCGCCTTGTCTTCTAGGATTTTAGGACTATTGGTACGAGTCAAATTGCAAGAAAAACGAAAACTAACTAAAATGGCTCGAAACTTTTTTTTCCGGATAACATTTTGCTTGTTTTGAAATCAGCGCAAAAACTCCTTAGTTTGTACGCCGATCCCCGGCCGCCTGTTTTCGATTCTTCTGCTAACACCGGGCGTACATGATATTTCGTACTTCACTTTGCCATACCTTGTTTCCCAGAGTGCCCCCTTTGAACCGTGTTTTTTTAGGTTCAACATTGCGAAGCAATGTCTGGAAAGACAGAATGGCGCGTCCGGAGATATGGTGCTGGCCCGCTGGTCGGACGGTCTCTGGTACCCGGCCAAAATTGACAAGATCAGCCAAGAGGACAACAAGGATTACTATAACGTCCACTTCCCGGTACAAGTTCTATCCTCTTCAAAATGTTTTTATTATTTTAGGGATGGGGCAAGCGATACGACGATGTCTTCAGCGAAGAACAAGTAGCAGACTCCTGGAAGCCCTACACGCGGGAGGCGGCAGATGAAGCCCGCGAGGCAGTGCGCGCTCGCTAAAGCGCTGGAGCAAAGAAAAAACGCAGCAAGAGCCTGGTGAGTGTTTCAGCGTTTGACTGCCCTGTTTCCTCATATGGGGGTTTTGTCACGCGTTAAAACCTGTACTTTTAGGGCTCGAAATCAATCACTCGCGCTAGGGAAAGTCAGTCACACAAGGGGCAAAGTGACCAACTCGGAAGGTTTGTATTTTCTTGTCATTATATTCTCTTCCTTCTGGTCGAAGCAACCCTCCCAAGCGCAGCGAAGACCGTTGTGGTCAAGGTTAAGAAGAGCAGCAGTCGAGCCGGAGGAGCTAAAACCGGTAGCTTCTTTTTCTTACCGTCGTGCTGTTGTATTGTTTTAATTTCGGAAAGGTCATAACTCGTTTTATTGCTTTGCAGTTCGCCATGGAGCTCCGCTTCCCGAAAGCGCTGGGCCAGATCCTCGTTGATGATCATGATCTGGTATTGGAAGATATTTGTCAGTACGCTGTTTTGGTTTTGCAGGTCGATCGCCGAGGCCAGCTGCCCACGTATCCCGCAAAACATCCAGTCGACGAGTTCTGAAAGAGGTATGCCCGATTGTTTTTCAAACTTTCATTTTTAGTACTTATCTTCTATCGGCAAACTGCGTGACGGCGTGTTGGAGCGGGAGAAGCCGGTGCTCGGTGAGGGCGAGGATCTAGTGGAGCCACTCGTCTACTTGCGCTTCTTTTTCGACTGTTGCCTCGGGTATGATTTTGCTATATTATGTAACCTTGTCTTTAGCACTTCCTTGCTCTACAAGACCGAGCGTTCGCACTACGATGCTCTGCACCTAAAAGATCCGCTGGACCCAAGTGAGAACTATATAAATATTGAAAATGCTTTGTTTTCAGGAATACAATGCCTCCCAGGACGCACTTCCGTCCAAATCGTATGGCCTGCCGCATCTCCTCAGGCTCCTGGCGTTCATGTCGAGGAAGTACCAAGAGATCCCTATGTCCCAGGGCGAGATTGAGAGAATTGCTCGGTGGGTTTCATTCCTTATATGTTAGCCTCGGCAGGTTATCCAGTTCTAATTTGTATTTTTAGTAGCCACCAGGGCTTCTTGGACTGGTTGGAGACGAAGGAGGGCGATTACTTCGACCGTAGCGCCTACTTTGTGCCGCTGGATGAGAACGTGAAGCGCATCAAAACTGAGCCTGAAGAGTATTAAACATTCAATGAATCTAAGATTATCGTTGGTATCCGTGTAGCTTCGGCCATTCATTCCATGGCAGCTTTATTTGCATTTATTGTTGTTAATCCGTTGTTCGTCTTTTCCTTTATTTCACGTTCATAAAGTATTTGCATTTTGAAACATTGCTACTCAAGCCTCATCTGAAGCTCGCGGAATATTTTCCTTTTTTTGCCGGTTTTTCTAGCATTGAACGTGCAGTACTTTGGTACTTTCCCTCCCGCTGGCATAATGGGTGACGCTGCATTGCTGGACGAATCTAAACAACTAATCTATGTGGGTATTCCATTCGATCCACCTATTTTTTTGGCAGAATTTCAAGTATGTAAGGTATCACTAATTGACTTGAACTGTTCAGGAGAACAATCGTCTCCGGAGCCGCCTCCATGACATAGAGGAAGTTCTTCAGCAAAACGACCAAAACTACAACGAACTAGACAACAAGCACAAAGTGGCCCTCGAGGAAAATAGGCAACTGGAGAAGAAAGTAATAATTTTTAGTCTATTTATCTTTTGTTTAGCTCGACCAAGAGAGGAAGGAACACTTGTTTTCACTCGAATCAGCAAATCAACTACGGGATGATGAGAAGCAAAAATTCGAACGCGAATTAGCGGTTGAAATCCATCATTTATTACGACTATATTCGTGTTTTTAGAAGCTCCGCCAAGAAAACGAGCAGATAAAGGCGGCCACAGTCGAAGTGTCATTTGAGGAAAACTCACCAAACACCAATATGGGGGTGCGTTTGGCTTATTCTAGTCATGACGGCTTATTGCAGGCATCATTTGTAACCGAAGATGAACAGTCGGGCCGTTCATACGCCGAATACCTGGAGCTGCAAACTGTGAACGTACTTGTCCGAGATCGCTGCTAACAGCTATTTTTAGGCTGATCTGAACTCGCGTTGCCTGGAAGCGGAGGAGCTAATCGTTAATTTGAAGGCGGAACTTCGGACGTGTGAAGAGCAACTACAAGCCCTACAGGCGGCGCATGATGACAAGTTGTTCAAGATGAATACGCTGAATATCGAGTTGGAGGCGGGTTTCTAGAAACATTTGCTTTTGCGATATTCATCCTGCTGTTAAAATTGTTTTTTAGAAGCTGAAGGAAGAAAAGAAGAGCTCACGTCTTCACAGGCAGCCAGCAGCGCCTGCAGTTACTTCGACCCAGCCGGCGGCGATTCTATTTTTTCCGAGGTATCATCATATCCCCGTATTCTACTCTGCTTCTCCAGCTTACCAACGACCACAGCCACCTCGAGCAGACGGTCCGAAGTTTGCAGGAACAACTGGTGGAGACCTGTCAAGAAAATACCAAGCTAAAAGCCGAGGTACTTTATTTGCGGTTTTATGCCTGATTTGGATTTGGACTACCTGACTTTTCTAGTGCGAAGAGGTGTTGCGGCTTCGCGATGAGAGTACAACGACCCTCTTACCAAAGACAGGGTAAGCGTCTATCTATGTTCTTCAGCAATTCTGGCATTTAGTGACGACAACTCGAGCCTGACCGTCGTCGCTGCGCCCATCGGCGGGACTTACGTCGGCGGCATGTTCGGAGTGTGAGAGACTTTATAAGGGTCTTGTTAGTGTTGCTCGAGACATTCACCGGAAAACTGGTCGAAAACAATATTTAGCTGATTTAACTAGGTTTTTAAATGGTAGAACATATAGCAAATTTGTGGTGAAAAATTAGCGCAATTGGGTGCAATATTTGGGACGCAAGTGTGCTATTAGGTCTTTCTAGGCGCTTCGATGCAACCAGCCTGACTATAATCCTTGAATTTCAGGGCCGTCGGTATGCTACTCGTGTTCGCCTTCCTGCTCTACTGCTTGTGCCTCCGCCCGGTCCGGTTCGTCATCGACGCCGTTCATTTGAACAGCCTCTACAACAAACACCAACTGATCTAATGCTTCGTGGGCTCCCCCGCTGTCTCGACAAGGCCCCCAAGCTCCATTTTATTCGTGATTTTTATTGCATTGAACTCGTTTCAGCGCTCTATTTTCTCTCCAATTAGCTCGCACCACCTATCTGTACGCCCTATTTTGTGCTTTTGCGATGTGACGGCGATGTCTTATTTTACGGGTAACTAATGATGCCCTGTGGTGATAAGGATAAACTTTAATCCAGCTAAATTATGAGAGCTAGCTCGGCGGTGATAGCTGATGGCCAGGGATAGTTTTTGGTCAGTTGTGCTCAGGCCGTAGGAGGGGGGCGGGGCAGGGGGCCTCCCCGAAATCGGTCGAGGTCCGAAAAGTTGATAAGGCGGGACCCTTATGATTTTTACAAAAATTTTTCTGCCTGCGGTGCGGTTTGTGACTGTTTTTAAAGGGGCTACGAAATGCCAAAAATTGAGTGACACCCCGAAAATCGGAGCCCTGTACGTCGGAGGCCTCTGTACACCTAGGGACGCGGGAAGCTCGCAGATTTGAAATTGCCTGTTGTCACCTCGAATTCACGTTCTCGGTTGTTTCTGGGCCAAATTTGATGATTAAAACACCAAAGCTATTTAAAATTGTGTGAGGATTTCAAAATGGGCTCAGAATGCGAATTATAGTGTTTTCACAAAGAAACCGGGCGAAAACAGTTTCGCGCAAAATCGAAGAGTGAGGGCTCTGTTCCGCAGCGCCCGCTGGCAATTTGCCAGAAATCAAAGAGGTCGCCCAAAGGGCTTTGATTTGGCAGTTCGGAGCCCCTTTAAGGCAGGTTTACTTCGAGAAAGCCTTTTTTCCAAAATTTTTTCGCCTGCGGCGCTGGTTTTTCATTAGTGCATTAATTGTCTATAAAATACAAAAGTCACGGAAGCAACCAAAAACTTCTTTATTCACGGCCGCGCGGAAGAGAACGGCACATTTCGAGAGGGCGGGCAATCACAAGTAATTAATGGAGCAGGAAGAGCGGCTAATTGGTGCTGGCTTGGCAGGTCTGCGCTTATTCGGCGTTTCTCCCGGAGATGGACGTCGGTTTGCCCATCATAGAGGTCTTCGACGAGGCCCCGGCGCCGCCCAATTTGCTGTACGACGACTGGCCCTTCAGCCGCGTCGCCTTCTTGGCCTTCCTCGCCGACTGTCGTCCTAAAGTAGAGGATCAAAATGGAAGCTTTGTGTAATCCTGGCAAGGCACGTTTTCAGATGTGTGGCAAGCAACACCGGTCTTTTGAAATATCTGCTATTGATTTCAGATGCTGACCGCCTCCTCCTGACTGGCGACGGCCTTTCGCAACGGGTTGATGTTGATGTAGTTGTCCTCCTCTTCGCCCTCCTCCTGTTCGGCCGAGACATTTTCACGGGAGGCCTTGCGCTTCAGCTGCTTGCCCTGGCTCTTCTTCCCCGACTTCCTCTTGATTTGCAGGGATATTTTGGCGGAAGGCCCATCTTCCTCTTTTTGTTCACCTGCGACTCCTCCTCCTCGTCCTCCTCGTCCTCGGTCTGCTCGCGGCTCTGGTTGCCCTTCTTCTTCTTCGACTTCTTCTTAGTGGCTAAAGCGATATGGGTTAAATTTTTTAACCTAGCGAACTGCTAATAGCTACTTTAATTTGGACCAGATATGTATAAAGTTCAAATTTAGCGGAGTACTAATTACTAAATCACTAAATTCCGCTATTGTACTCGTTTTTAATGATCAAGAAACGACCTCAAGATTGGATTAGGTTAGTGGGTACTTTAAAGGGATGCCGAAGAGGAGCCGCCGGCCGCCCAAGGACAGCATAGCGTAACAACAAGGAAAACTTCACATGATAAGGATCTACTATATATAAATTTCTCTGGTCCGTGCTAGAGTGAGGGACGCCTAGGCTTGCCTAGGCTTCCTCGGGCTTTTTTAATTTGCATCTAGGCTGAGCCTGGGCTATGCAAAATACGCCTGACCTCTAATTAGTCAGGCTTTATCTGGAAATTTTATGTAGTGGTAGGATATTCGAAGTTTTGCCGAACAAATAAGGAATTCTTTTAAACTTCCGGTGGGTCGAACAGCTGTACTGGGTCCAAGAATATTCTACAAAGTTAGGTTACTGTTTTTGACAAACCTAACGGCACGATACGCTAATAGCACGCGGATACATAAAAGCCAAGAGTCGGTTCGAACGGGCGGGAGATGCAATTGCCTCTCCTGGCATCTTGCCTATATTTTTCCCACCTTCGGCATCCATATAATTTGTTATTGCGTCAAAGCTACCAAGGTTTTAGATGCAGTAACCAGACTAACATGTTTTTACGCATTGCATAAAAAAGCCTGCCTAAATCCTTGGGCTTCCGCCAGGCGTCGGCAGGCGCGGAAATGCAATTCGGCCCAAGAAAGCCTGTAATTTTCCACATCGAGACTCGTTTCCTATTCCCCTTATATTCCCATTTCTATTTTCTTCGATGTCGGGAAATTTGGTAGGTAACCTTATTATCTTCGCGCGTAACTGACTGTTTCGCAGTCCTTTGCCCCTTTAACCGAACTTTACAGAGCATCCCAGAGATTATGGAAAAACTGAGCCGCGAATGGTCGAAGCTGTCGGAAGCGGAACTGCGGGAGAATGACGCCCGAAATGACGCCCGGGGCCAGCAGATGTGCCACTTTTTGCGAAGGACCAGAGCGTACTCAAGACACCAACAGCAGGAGAACGCCGTTCTGGACTACCTCAAGGATCATCAGAGGTTGACGGACGCCGATTGCGCGGTGCCCCTCGCTCTCTTTCCGGTAGTGATTAGTTACAACACAGAGTACCCGATTTCGGTTATTAGTATTTGGGTTTTCCTTGTCATTTTTCCTAAATCATCTTTCCGGTTCTTTCGCATTAACGGGGGGGGGACCAATTTTTTTTGGCCTAGAAATGTCTGGTCACTTCATAACAAGTGTTTTAATAGTGGTTTTGGTAATAAATAACTATATTTCAGCTAGAAAAACTATCCAAAAAACTTAAAAAGTCGCAATTTGGTCAAAATCGGCTATTTTTGGTCGAAAAATCGATATTTTTTATATTTTTAATGAATAATTTTAATAAACATTCTTGCACCTAGAAGAAATTTGGACTATCGGGATCATGGGAGGGACGGAATAAATAATTAGCTTCCGCTTTGGTATGATCGGGCCTCAAAGCACAAGGGCTTGTTTTCAATTTAGCGCCTTTAGCCTTGGCTGTGTCAAGCTATTCTTACCTAATCTATATGTTGCAGAAAGCCGTCCAGCCGAACGTCAACATCGCCCAGGTGCCGGCCGGGTTCATGCGCGTCGTGGAGCAGGCGGAAAGGCGCTTGACCCAATACAAGGGCGATGAAGATGTGGACGATGTAGGAGTTTCACCTGAGGATTTTTCTTTGCGGGGGGTGATTCGCAGCCCTTATGACCGTGGCGAAGTCGAATCTGCCCACGTTTTTTGCAGGCTTCCACGGTGTATCTCCGGGATATCAAGACCGCCAAGGAGAAGCACGTCGAGTTCGCTGTGGTGAATCGATTGAAGGTGGAGAAAGAGATCGAGCGTCTGGTAGCTTTTTGCCTCTCCTCATGAAGGTTAACATCAAAGTCAGTCCATGTGTGCGTTTAGATGACGATGCTCGACTCCGAGCACGCCAAGAACGAGACGAAGATGGAGAGCCTCCTCAAGACCGCCCGCACGGCCACCCACGCCACCAAGGCCGAGTTCCAGGAGAAGACACGCGTCGATCCGGAGCCGATGGTAGCTTAATTTTCGGGAACTTTGATTATCCATGCACAACCGAGGGGACACAAAATTTCTCCGCCAAGGTTACGCAACGCTCCGCTTCCGTGACTTGGCTTTCAGCTAGGCTTGGGCTTATCTTCACTAAACCTAAGCCTAGCGTAAGTCGCGGCTTAGACCTAAACTGAAACGACTTGAATTAGCTTTAATTGGCCCTAGGGGCTCGAGGAACCGTCATTTGAGGGTTTACTTTCTATAGGCTTCACTTAGATTAAACCTGGCTTAGACTTGGTTGTTAATGAAGCTAAGCTCAGACTGGCTCTCTAGGCCTGGCTTAGCCTATCGGTAAGCCTAGAAGGTAAAAAAGTTTGGCGCGCCTTGGAACCTTGGAACCTTGGACCAGAGCCCCCCCCGTAGTTGCATTAGCACCTGATCATCCTGCCGATTGCCAATTTATACCTCAATTTTGTGTGAACTGGTCATCAGGCGCATCAAGCCGCACGTCTTGGTCCAGGTCCAGGGCGCCAACGACGACGGCGACGACACGGTCACCGCGGACAACCAACAGACACCGAAAAAGGTGTAAACGTGCCTAGTTAGTGTGTAATAAACAATTTTATTGTACACCGGCGTTTAGAAGCAAGATATACATAAACCACCACACTCAAAGAAATTCACCAGTTTAGCATTTTTCAGTTTCAATCATCCAAGAATTTTAATTTCGGAATGCAACCCTGCTTACTCTACAGTGTGTGTCAAAAAGATACACCTTCTTTCAGCTTCTTTTTTACATGTACTTGAAATATCGCTAAAATAAATAACGCCATTTTTATAAGCGAGAGAAGAAAACAGGGCAAAAAAGAAGTGTCAAAAAGATAGGGACAGACTTTTACATATAATTACCATCAACTTCGCGCTTGCAGATTACATGCTAATTGGTGATCCGAAGTTTTTTGGCTATGCAGATTCACGATTACTCCGAAAACCCAGAAGTCAGAAATGGCGATGACTTTGGAACCCTCATTAGCATGTAATTAGCGAAGAACCCATTTTCTGAAAACCGCGCTATCTTTGTTCAGCAATTATCGGCTTGGCTGGAATAGCTGATCTATAGAGAATTTTTTCTGGTTTGTTGTTGCGAAGGCAAACCAAAAATCAAACCAATATTTGGACCATAAATCCGCGATTTTGTGAAAATTCAATGAAAAACTCGGGATAACCATCTATGCCAGCGCAGTTTCGCAAATAACTAAAAACAGACCCTCA